AATGACAATTTTTACAGTGTGAATCTATCTATACCTAAGGTTAGGGAAACTTCAATTTATTTACAAATTTGCCATTGTCAAAATTTTAAAAATATTAATTTAAATGTAAGTTTTTATACATGTAAATAAAAAATATATATAATTAAAAAAAAAAAAACAAAAAGGAGGATGGCAAGCAAAACACTAACCGTTACATAATAAAAGAGTAATAAGAGACTAACAAAAAAAATATACATATATATATATATATCAAAGTTGGATAGGGATCAATAACATGTAAAAATCAAAAAGAAAATATACCTTAATTTCACCTCGGGCAAGGGCTAGCCACAAAATGTTTGCAGCAGCTACGAGGATGTGCAGCTGATCAATAAACAGAATTACTTCTCCCTTGCTCCCTTTTACTTCATCAGTCATTCCAAACAATATTTCCTCAAATTTGTTTTTATCAGATGCCCCATCAATAAGGCGGTCCACATCAACCGCGAAAATCTGAACATTACATATATAAAAATATCTAACTGAATGAGTCAGGATCAAACAAATTAAAATAAATAGACATGAATTAAGTTGACCTTCTTCCCCATAAGTTTTTCTGGAATGGTTTCATTGATTATGTTCTGAGCAAGAGCTTCAACAATCGCAGATTTGCCAACCTCCGGATCCCCCAAAAGGCATGGATTATTTTTCCTCATCTTGCACAATATCTGTGTCATTCTCTCCAATTCTTTCTGTCTTCCTACGAGAGGAGCCAATTTATTCTGAATAATGCAAAACAAGGAAGAGTTACCAAATGATATATATATATATCTTCAATCCATTGAAATTGAGATGCAAGAGGAAATACAATACCTCCTTTGCCATTTTGGTCAAATCAGTTGCATATAAGCTAAGAACTTCTACATTAAAGTTGTATTCTTGAGGCTCCTCCATCTTAACTTTAGATTAATAAGACAGGCAATAAATCCTCATTTAAACCATTTTTCAAGTGCAGTATGAAATTAAACATCTGACCAGTGATGATCATATGATAAATCTTCGAGCCATTCCTTTATTCCTTACTTTAATGTGATGCTGCGTGGTCCTCTATTAAGCGCACATGTTATTTTCTTATGATTCATTTTAGAGTTTTGTTAGCACTAAGTAATACATTGCTTTCTTCTTTTTTTATTCCCCAATACTCACTAATAATTCCATTCTTTGAACCTATTTCTTTGCTTTAGAAGTAGCTGTTCTAGGATTATTATTTGAAAAAAGTGTTATTCTTATTTAAGCTTTATTTGTCAATACTTCATATAAACTTTTTTCACATAATATTTTTTATAAAAATGTAAATTTACAATTTTAAATTAATTTTTTATATAACTTTACTACTTTTAATTAATATTTTTTATTTTTTTAAAATATTAAAAGACAAAAACCTACAACTAGTCAACTAGAATCACAATATTGACAAACAAAACCTAAATTAATATTTTTAAACACATAATTACTTATATCTTTGCTCTTGTTTCTTTTTTCTTATTTTCAATCGACATGCTTATATCTTTGCTTAAATGATGGTAAAGAGGTGCAGTAAGTGAAGTTTTACGTGTTAATTGTTATCCTTAAAGGAGTTAATTATAACATAAAGTTTAGAAATTTATAGATTAATTTTCTTCTAATACTATTTATAACATGAATTTTACATGTGAAAAAAATATAGCTTAGGTTGT